GGAGGAGGAGGAGGAGGAGGACACTTGGAAGGAGGCACGTACATGCCATTCACGAGCTACCCTTCGCATGCACTCTTGGTGCTCTAGCTCCGGCTCCTACACATCTTATCAGCCTCTCGCCCTCTCCTCGCAGTTCCCAACCTCTCGGCGGATACGATGAACAGCATCGCGTACAAAGAAGTTGAAGGCTGCCCACATAATTATTCTACAATACAAGCTGCTGCTGCTGCTGTTGCTGCTGCTGCTGCTGCTGCTGCTCTTCCTCCGTCTTGCTCCTAGTCCTGGTCGCGGTCCTACAGCCCTCCGCACTCACCAGAAATCCTCCGATCGCTCATTTTTCTTTTCAGTCCCGCCAACTCGATCTGAAAGCTTTGGATTAGAGCACAGGCAGGGCAGGCAGGGGGGAAGACAAGGAGATGAAGGTAAGTGCCAAAGGAAAGAAAGTTCAGAGGTGAACTTGTGAGTCGAGTATATACATGTGTATGAGTCGAGTGTGTATGCGTGCATGCGTGTTTGTGTATATGTATTTGTGTATTTATGTATGTATACATGTACGTATGTGTGCACATGTATGTATGTATGATTTACATGTGTATGGATGGTTTATGTACATGTATGCATGTAGGTAGGAAGGTAGCCATAAGATAGCGAGAGAGAAAGAGGAAGGGGGTAAGAAGAAGCGGGTTGGAAACGAGAGAGCGGAAGGGAGGAGAGCAGTGGAGGAGCTCAGTAGTATAGTGCGATAGTAGGACGGGAGGGTTGTCGTGACCTGCGGTTCGCTGCCTAGACGCGTTTGAGATCTGAATCCTGTGAGAGCGTCAGAGAGAGGAGGAGGAAGAGATCAAGCTCGTGCCTGCATCGTCAATCTCCTGCTGCTCCAGCTGAATCACCCTGATGACGTCATCAGCAAGACCGTCCTCGTCCTCGTCCTCGTCCTCGTCCTCGTCCTCGTCCTCGTCCTCGTCCTCGTCCTCGTCCTCGTCCTCACCCTGCCTCTCACTAGTCCTCGTCCACCTTCCTTTCTTCTTAACCCCCTGCTCCAACTCCCGCACCCTTTTCCCACTCCGAATGTTGCTACCTGTTCTTCTGTTCTTCGGCCAAGTTTGCCCAGAGCATTTCTATCTTCTTCATTCTCTCCATCTGTAGCATCAAGATCAGTACGACCGTGAGGGAACAGAAGGGACTGTCTGCCTGTGAAGTTTGCGGCTCCTGATTATTGAGCCGAGCTGTCATGATCCTGACGAACTTCTCATACCTGTCCAGAAGCAGCAACCATTCAGAAGCTTCCCGTGCCTCCTCCTCCTCCTCTGCCCCTTTCCCCCATTCTTTTCGTTCACTTTCCTCCATCCCTCTCCCATTCTCTCTTTCCTCCCAGCCCTCTTCTCCTCTCCAGACCTGCTGTCTCCCCCGCCATCGACCGGTTCCTTGGATGTGCGCTTGTTGGAACCACTGACACCGGCATGGTAGAAGCTTCTTCCCACTCTTCGTCCTCATCCTCGTCCTCATCCTCGTCCTCGTCCTCGTCCTCGTCCTCGTCCTCGTCCTCGTCTGTCTTCCCCTGGTACATCAAATTCGCCTTCTGCCCAACGAGTCTCCCGTACGCCATCTGCAGCCCGACATTGCTCAGTCTCAGCCTTCAACTTCTCAACATCTACAGCACCTGCTCCATCCCCAACGTCCGCCCCCCCGCCGCATCCTGTCGACGTCAACGATCAGGCTTGACCACCAGGACAGTCTACGAGGAGACGAACTTTGACAGATGCGCGAGGAAGCTCGACCTGCCCTCGTCTCGATCCCACCATCCCCTGCAAGCTACAACACCAACACCTCCGTTACTTGCAACGAAATCTGCCGCTTCTTAGCTACCTGCCATGCCCCGGGTTCATCGCGTCCCCCGTCAGCTGCCCCAAGGACATGGATGTTCTCGTCCTCGTGGCATCGGGAGGGAGAGGAGAGACTTCATGGTCGACTCGAGGAGCGGT